CGTATTTTGATGGTAGTGCTAGCAAGAGATGACACACCTTGTCCCCTTCATCAATATTTGATCCAAGTTCTTTCAATAGGGTACTTGCATGGAAAATTAAATTGATTATTGTTTATTGCAAACTGTAGGAAATCGAAAAATAGTATATTATATACCTAGGTAGAGAAGTTGGTCATTATATACCGAGCGCTTTTATAAACCGAGGCGCGGAGCGCCGAGGTTTATAATGTGTAAGGTATATAATGACTTTCTCTACCGAGGAATATATAGAATTTTTTTTTACTAGTACTAGTAGAAAATTAAAAAAATATTCAAAATCTGTGCTCTTAATTATTTTTTTGAACGCCCTTTTGAAAGTGCTGCCCTCTAACAACAGCTTATGATAACTTCCTATATGTACCTACAGAAACCTGTATTTTTTTTGAATTGACGTATGAAATTGAAATTGGACCAATAGAAACATGACAATATCCTTGCATCATGACGTCATTTTCATTATTGACCTAGGTATTTTTTCATTATTTTCATTATTAACCTAGGGAGAGAAATTCAATTTTTTCCTAAAAAAATAGATTGAATAATGACTATTTCTCAGGTTAGTAGTAAAAAAAAATAGGTACTTTTTTTTAATTTCACCCAAATATGATTATTCCGGAAGTTATACAAATAATAAGTTTTTTATATATAGATATACTGAGCATGTGCGACGTCACAACTCACAACGTATTATACCTAAGTTATGACGTCGAAGGACATTTCAAAGCGTTATATCTCCGTCAATTTTTGACTAACAAGAAAAAGAAAAAACACGTGTTGACTTATTTTTCATGGACTATCGAAATCAGCAATAAAAAAAATTGATGCAAGGGGCCTATTCCCTAATTATAGTGTCAAATTTCAAGAACAAGTCTTCTAGTTTTTCTTCTGAACCTGACTGCAATTGTATGAGTTTTCTCCACAATGAAAGTTTGGTGAAGGTACTGTTTCTTACGAAGACTTCTTTCAAGGCATGTATTTGTTGTTTGGCTGTGACACAATCCTTTATTATGTCTAGATGTTTATCAGACACACCTTGGACTATTATTGATTTTGCCCTAGCATCAGCCCTCTTAAACTTATTTCTCACCTCTTCGGTTGTTGTTACTGGTGGGGGATCATCCAGAGCATTTTCACACTGTTCACGCTTAAACAAAGTCGTGATTCTAAAATGCCAATTATTGAAGTTGTTTTCTTCTAATATTGGAATCGATACACTTTTTAATCCTTGACATTTTTTCCAGAAGCACACTTTTTAGGTTATGTATCACAATGTTTATTGAAACTTTTTGGATTTTCACTTTTGATTGTTCAGCAAAGAGACTGGGCCCATAACCTGATATTTATGGGTTTTTATAGCTCAATTAAAACACAGTTTGCTGTTATTTTAATAGCTTTAATCTTAGGAAAAACGTGAACAGAAATCAACGACACTTTCTCTTTCTATATAATGCTAAAACCTACAGTGGCTAAATAAACCTTTACATACAGTGGCGACAATAGAGGTCCGGCCGCCATCTTGTTCCCAACCTCTTGTTACTTTTAAATATTAATATATAGGAGTTAAATGGACATCTATCATAAAAAATCGGAACCGACGTATTTGATGACCATTATTAGGTCCATCAAATACGTTGTTTTCCATGATTTTGATGGATGTTCACCTTAATCCCATAAATTCATATTTAAAAGTAAGGGGTTGGGAACAAGATGGCGGCGTTTTCAATATAAATATATGGGATTTTTGAACCAATCAAAAATAAGACAGCAATTGTCGCCACTGTGGGTTATAGAGTCACTGTACTAAAACCTAACTCGCTTGACAACACAGCAAAAGCTGTCATGTCTAATTTACAAGTAGTGCCATCTATTGACGAGAGACCAAAGTTAAGTAATTACAGGTTTCAGTAAAGGTTATATGTGAGAAGGAATCCTTAACATGATTGACAACATCAGAAATGTGTCAGTTTGTTAGGTACTTTGTCAACTTGTCATAATCTATGTAAAATTTTAGCGCATTTTAGCTTATGATTTTAGTAATTGTGATAAATAAAAAGTTGCTCAAGAATAAAATAGAATATTACACACGATGGTAAAAAAGCTTTACCTGTTCGTGGAATTAATCCATGTATAATAATAGTTATTTATTATACAAGACGGTAAAAAGATGCTTTACCTGTGAGTGGAAAATGTTGATTCACGAGCGACGAAGGAGCGAGTGGATTAATTCCACGAACAGGTAAAGCTTTTTTACCGTTGTGTGTAATATTCTATTTTATTCTTGATCCACTTTTTATTTATCACAATTACTAAAATCATAAACAAAAATGTGCTAAATTATGACAAATTGACAAAGTACCTAACAAACTGACACATTTCTGGTGTTGTCAATCATGTAACATATCAGATTTCTGTCACAAACACTATAATTATTATAAAAGAAGAGAACGAGTGGGTAAAATTGACGTATGAGTGGGTAAAATTGACGTATGAGTGGGTAAAATTGACAAATGAGTTGGTAAAAATTGTTTATTTACGACTAATGTATAATGTGCGTACCTACATATTATATTTGTGATTTTGGCAGTATAATGAATGACATATGTTATTCCTCCAGGGATTAATGACGAGTAGCGGGATTAATGGTCATTATTCCACAAAAGTGTCAGTGTCAAACGTGTAGTGCTTGTGGATTTGTATTGAAAATTATGAGACGGATGAAATTTGTTTATTGAAAATCTCAAATAAATTAATTTTTCGTAAATAAAGTAGCAATAATGGCTATTATTCCCTCGGAATGTTACTCCCTCGCCGCTAACGCGGCTCAGTTCGTAATAATCCTCGGGAATAATAGCTATCATTATTGACTCGTGGTATAATCTACTATTGATTTCACTACTTCAAATAAAGTGTTACTTTAACAACGACTTTTGAGTCGATTAAATGATAGTTTACCATTCGCGATAGAATAAATAACTATTATCCACCCCTTTCACTCTATTAGGAATTTGCCTCAGACGTGGTAAATGCTGGTACCATTCCATTTACGTAGTATACATTTCACTGTATGGCGGCGATTACCAAAAACGAGGCCGATAAGCAATCCTTATTGGTGTTTATTATCCTTGGCAGGGCCGCACACCGCAATATCGGATACTTAAAAATCCTACCTAAGCTAAAGTCTAGTACTCATAACTGCGAAATTCGCATTTTTTTGACATTGCTTCGACAATTTGACGTTTGATACACGCATGAAACGTCAAATTGTCAACGCAAATGTCAAAAAATGCGAATTTCGCAGTTATGAGTACTAGGCTTCCTAGTACTCATAACTGCGAAATTCGCAATTTTTTGACATTGCTTCGACACATTGATGTTTTATGCGTGAATTAAACGTCAAATTGTCGAAGAAATGTCAAAAAATTGCGAATTTCGCAGTTATGAGTACTAGGCTTTAGTCCTCATAATCGCGAATTGGGAATTTTTTTTCTGCGGAATTGTTCCCATTGATCCAAATTATTTGAAATTATACCTACTGGCGCGAAAATCTCGTGAATATTTATCAACTTCTTGCGGCATTGCAAAAAAGGTAAAATAAGCCAAGGATGATACACACTACTACTCCAGAGCCGCTTTCCAGTATGGGAGTTTGACGCCCGGAGCTACCGAGCCCCCGAGCCCCCGAGCTGTACGTACGCGTCAACTTGTCAGCTGTCACATCCGTGGGTGGCTATTTATTTATTTATTTCTTGTTATATCTCAAGATTGAACATTTTAAAAAATATAGTTTTGATTATCTTTCACTTGGTGCGTGGCGCCGCCGAGGTGCTCTGGAGCGCGCCAGAGCGCGCCAATGTGCATACTGGAAAGCGGCTCTGGATGGCTTATCCTCATAAAGCCTGTGTGTAACAAATCCCCCCCTTCCCCCTATGCCAAACAACCAGTTGTGACGTAAGCAACATGGCGTTTCTCGCCTTGATGTAGACTCTTTAAATAGCTGACGACTTCGATATGACGTCGGCAATGGTTGAAAACAGTTGAAAATCAATATGGCGGCGATTACCAAAAACGAGGCCGATAAGCACTCCTTAGAGTGTGTATTCTCCTTGAAAATAAGCTAACTTTTTGACGAATAATCTGGGAAGAAGTGAGGTTATGCTAGTTTATTCGCCAAAAAGTTAAATTATTTTTACTTTTTTGCAATGCCGCAAGAAGTTGAAAACATTGGAAATATTTTCCCGCCATTATAATTTCAAATAATTTGGACCAATAGGAATAGGAATTATTCCGAAAAAAAATTTCCCAATTCGCGATTTTGAGGACTGCTTTAGCGTAGCTGCCGCCCGAGCCAATGGCTGCGTTCACCAGAACCAAAACGGAATTTCTTGGTTCTGCTGAACGATTCAACTTTTCGAAATGATAGAACGTCATCCTCTGTCATGTCACCACACAAAACAGAAAAGTATATTGTTTCATTAGGAGTAAAAGTGATACTTTTTCTGGCGAGATCAAATGTTTGGGTTAATTATTTAGACAATTTTAGACGATCCACAAAAAGTGCTTTTGCCGCAAACGTCAAAATATTACGACTTTTTTAACTTCAATTCTAAATGTTGAAGTTTCGCAGACGTTCTTGTACGCTCACAACGGGACAAAAAAGTGACGTCACAATTGACAATATTTATTTCTTTGATTCCATCGTTTGAACACCTTTTGCGGAAGAAATCGCATGTTTTAGGTATTCGGAAAAAAGCACTTTTTGTGGCTCGTAAGTATAATTTTTACTCCTAATAAAATATTTTACTATTCTCCGAATAAAACATGCGATTTCTTCCGTAAAGGGTGTTCAAACGATGGAATCAAGGAAATAAATATTGTCAAAAAGGATTTGATGTAGAAAAACTTGAAATTAGACCTTTGTTTACTGAATTTGTGGTTGCCAAGGCTAAATTTCTGTGACGTCACTTTGTTGTCCAGTCAAAAAGTACACTTTTTTCACGCTCACGTCACGGCCGGACAAAAAAAGGTAAGGATACACACCAACACACTACTATTACTACAGGATAAACTATCCTTAGAAGCCAGTGTGGAACAAATCTGAAGCCCCCCATCACGTCAAATCACCAGTTGTGACATAGGCAGCATGTATCATCGTCACCAAAAGTATCGGGGACACAAATAATGCATAATAATCTCCTGGACTAATTCTACTGTCATTCATTTCAATGCATTTGATTCATAGTTTGACAAATATTTGACAATAAAATTCATTTAATAGGACAAGAGCTAATGTTATACTGTCCCAGTTACTTTTGGTGACGATGGTACATACAGCCGTGAGCATAAAAAGTGGGACACCCGTCTTTTCCTATTGTAAAACGAGCTCATTAGCTATACCCACGGCAATGACAGGGATTGTCATATGACAAAAAATCCACTGTAGAGAAAAGACTGATTCACTCAAAATAGCGAAAAATTACAAGACCTGTCGAGTCGGGTGTCCCACTTTTTACACTTTTTATGCTCACGACTGTACTTTCACTTTCTCGCCTTGACGTAGGCTGTTTGTACTACAGGTTATGATTCCCCGGGCTTTTGCTTTATGCATATTTGTTTTTACTACATAAATAATTAACACTCTAAAACAACTCTTTTTTAGATTTAATTTTCATCTTCCTCTTTGCCTATTATGTTAATCAAAATTAAATAATATTTTTCATTATAAATTTAAATTCTCAACTACGACCGCTAGTGCAAACAGCTGACGACTTAGTTATGACGTCGGAAATGGTTGACACACCAATATGGCTGCGATTACCAAAAACGAAGCCGATAAGCAATCCCTAGTAGTGTACATCATCCTTGCAAAAAAGTAGCAAAAAAATGACGTCTGTGAATTCAAACATTAACATTAAACATTGAAATTGAAATAAACGTAATTTTTTGAAGTTTGTGGAAAAACATGTTTGGTTTCAACCAATGAGCTCCAACAAAAACTCCAAGGTTACGTTGCCGGATAATTTATGACGTCATGTGGAATGTTCGACAGTTTGCGGCTAGAATCGATAGGCAACTAGGATTGTTGTCTTTGTTCAAAGGGACAAAAATTCAGGTCGCTGACTTGTCAGTGAAACATCAGTGCAAAAACCATTGGCAGAAACACAGTGTTGAACCAAGGTTCCTAAAGTTAATAGGTTGTCTGGTAGAAGAGATTTGCATTATGTTGAGGCACCCCAGATAACGTCATAAAATTTATCAGGCAACCTTCCTCACTCAAACAACCTTGGTGTTGAACAAAGTGTAGCTCAGGTCTTGTTCTCATAGAAATCCTACAGCAGTCAGAACGAATTGCATTGGAAAGATAGTCGGAAAATTAGTTTTTGGCGTTTGGCACCAATCAAAATCGTTCTGACTGGTTTGTGATTTCTGTGTTCTGTGTGAGAATACACGAATTGGGCGCGTTCACCAAATACGAACGTTAGTGAAACGCTTTACAATTGTTCGATTTGTTCGGCCGAACGCTACGTCGTTGAATTTGTGTTAAAACCAAACATGTTTTGCAAACGGTGGCGGTTTGTGCAAGAATAATGTTGTGGTTTCCAACATTTATTTATTTTTCAAGAGTAGAATCTGTGGTAGAATGCTGCCAATGCCGTGCTAATTCTTGTTCGTAAATCTAGGTTCAAGGAAACACGATGGTTTGATTATGAAAAGTGTTTTTATTTTAATTTGAACGAAAAACGACTATTTACAACTATTTACAGAAAACAGGTAACAAATTCTGAAGAACATTGCATATTTAAATAAGTACATGGAACGTTCACTTTAACGCAAATAATTGGTTAATTAACAGCAATTAAACAATAGAAAACTGAAGAGAAAGAAAAGGTTGATTTCAGGCGCACGATCGGGCCATTTGGAGAAAAGAAAAAAGCGGTACAAAACAACCCTTGCAATTCGTTACGATCTCTGACTAGAAGTGAGAACTCAAGGCAAACAAAAACTTCGACTTCGTAGGTAAATACTCTCCACCTCCAGTCTTGACCTACTTTTGCGATGCGTTTGGGCATACGCACGTTCCCTTGAAAATCGGGTAGAAACGTAGAAACAGAAGATTATAGTAGGAATAAAAATATAAAGAAATTTAACTTTAAATACAGCGGCGGCGGCAGCGGGTTGAAATGAAATTTCAACAAATAAATTAAGAGTGTTCATAATAATTTCCAACACTTTCGCCAGTTTTGAGCGATTGACCGATCGGTTCATCTTGACAGATAAACCATTCAAAGGTACGGTTTGTTAGGAGAGTACGCGTCGCACAACTGACAACGTAAACGTCGTCATTGGTTCAGGTATGACCATAGGTATGACGTACACCCGTTTTCTCACGTCAGAAGACGGGTGTACGTCATACCTAAACCAATGACGACGTTTACATTGTCAGTTGTGCGTCGCGTACTATCCTAACAAACCGTACCTTTAGTTTCATTTCTCAACCAATTGGCCTTAACTGACGTTAAATCCATTGCTCCTGCAAAATGACCAACTGGTCAATTCTCTTAAAATTGGCTTTTGTTTTCTGTGGTGACATGACATTCCAGGATGATATTCTATGATTTTAAAAAATGAATCGTTCAGCAGAACCAAGAGTTTACCCGAAGTATTCTGTAATGGTATTTGTAAACTATTGACAACTGGTTTTGGTTCTGGTAAACGCAAGGATAATACACACTACTACTACAGGATAGCCTATCCTCATAAGGCCTGTGTCGAACAAGTCTGAAGCCCCCCTCCACTACGCCAAATCACCAATTGTGACGTAGGCAGCATGTCCTTTCTCGCCTTGACCTAGGCTGTTTGCACTACAGGTTATGATTCCGAGGGCTTTTGCTTGCATTGCATACTTGGTTTTACTTCATTAATTAGTATTCTAAAACAACTCTTTTTAGATCTCGTTTTCAGTTTTCTCTTTACGTATTTTCAAATGCTGTTATGAGTTTTAAATAGTGGTAATTGTGAATTATTTGCGTTGTTATACCTAAAAATGTTGTTTTTTCGTCATCGGCGCCATATTGGTGTGTTTCCATTTCCGACTTTCCGACGTTATAACTCAAGAATCGTATAACCAAGTCGTCAGCTGTTTAATTAAACAGTCTACGTCAAGGCGAGAAATAACATATTGAATAACATGCTGCCTACGTCACAACTGGTAATTTGGTTAGGAGGGGTGAGGGGGTATTTGTTACACACAGGTCTTATGAGGATAGGCCATCCTGTACTGTCCTGTAGTAGTAGTATGTATCATCCTTGGATAAGCAGTCGTAGTCGTAGTGTGCATTATCCTTGGCCATTAATGAAGTTTTCGATTGGTACAGGTAACGCGCACTGAGTGTATTTGCATCTTTTTTTATCACTCTGTAAAATAATCAAATAGAAATACTTTTTTTTTACTAGTGCTACCAACAGGAATCAACATAACCCAAAAAATATCTTTGTCTTAAAAATTGTTGACAGTGTCAAGCAGTGTTGCCAGAATTGAAGAATTTCCTTCAATATGAAGAGTTTTGGTCTAAAATTTTGACTACTGAAGGATTGAAGGTTTTTATCAGAATTTGAAGGATTATGAGGCAAATTGTATGTTTAGCAAATAGTTCAATCATTTCACCAACAAATTTAATTTTTATTGAAACAAATTAATTAGTTGCCTGAGAAAAAATACGAAATGCCAATTTTTGCTACGCCACTGCTCAGTTAGTGTGCTGTAGCCCAGGCTTTAGATTCAAAATTCAATAAAAGAATTTCGTTCATGTTAGTCAAGGATAATACACACTACTAGCATAGCCTATTCTCATGAGGCCTGTGTGGAACAAATCTGAAGCCTCCCACCACGCCAAATCACCGGTTGTTACGTAGGCACCATGCCTTTCGCGCCTTGACGTAGGCTTTTTGCACTACAGGTTATGATTCCGCGGTCTTTTGCTTTATAAATATTAATCAAATTTAAATATTTTCCATCATCAATTTAAATTCTAAACTACTACCATTACTGCAAACAACTGACGACTTAGTTATAACGTCGGTAATGGTGACAAACCAATATGGCGACGATTACCAAAAACGAGGCCGATAAGCAATCCTTAGTAGTGTGTATTACCTTGCATGTGAGTGTTTTTTTTTGGTAAATTATTTTGTTGTGTCGGCCACACGCCACTGTTTTACTGTTTTGAAGGATATGAAGGGTTTTAGCCAATCTTGAAGGAATGTCGTCAAAAAACTCTGGCAACACTGGTGTCAAGTGTCACAAGGTGGCGACATTTCTCATTTCTGTGTTGTGAGATTATCTTTTTGATAAGTTTTTAATAGAAAATTAGTGATTTGTTAACATGGCCGAGCCATCCCAATGTAAAACCATGGTGCCAATCATTTATCAGCAAATTATAGAAGACGTTATAACCAAAGTCAAGGAAGAATTCTTGGAAGAAGGAATCGACGAACATGTTTTGCAAGAGCTGAAGCAAATCTGGCAATCCAAACTAGCTGCCACTAACTGCGTACCCAATGAGCCCGATAAACAAAGCAGAGCAGCAAATAGTTCAGAGCAAGTGGCATCATCAGAACCGCAACAGATGGAACCGACTCAGTCTGTCGCTATTGCTAGTACTAGTGGTACTGCTAGTGGATTTGCACCAGACACAAAAATGGTTCTGGTGGATATTACTTTGCCTTCTCAGAATGGAGACCAAAGGGTGCTGAAGATCAAGGTATGTTATAATCAAATAAATTATCCAATATTGGTAATAATAGGGGTTTTGCGAGGGGTTTTGTTAAGGTCTCAAGGATCCAAGTTTTTCTAGTTTTAGTTTTCCTTTTTATTCGTGAATTTATAAACCAAAATCAGTGAGTTGTTTTTTGTTGAAACTTTAGTTTTGGGCTGAAGTAACTATGTAGTAACTTTCATCTATCAGACGGATTTTCAAGATTCACAAGTCGATTAAGGATGCAGCTTTACTGGTAGACTCTAGAACTAATTTTAAAACTCATTAAATTTTCAATTTGGGTATAAAGTGAGAAAAAAAAAAAAGTAAAATTCAACTAATCGTTGCAGGAATGACTCTGAACTTTGCATTTCTTCAAGGTGTTTTGTTCAAACTAATCAAACTGTCTTAATATCTTCATAGAATCACAAATTTGTAATGAGAAGCATTTAGCTCCATATAATTGGCATCGCACCACTCATCCCTCTACATACCTATTAAGATCTTGTTGCAGCGCATGGGCCAGAAATAATCTTTGGTCATTTTAGATTCCCTGCAAAAAAATAAAAGGAGCTATTCCTGGAACAGGACTTCCTGCTCCTGCTTCTTTCCTATGATAATGAACTTATCTTTCTATCATTTTGGTGAGCTTTACTTCTCTTACATGACCGAGGTTGACCATAAGAATTCTGAAAAAAAATAATGTCTTGCTCCTGGTGATAAAATAGAAGGGTGTCTCATTTAAAATATTCGATTCCACATCCTTTTGTAGGAAAAAGTAACTGATTGTCCTTTCTAGATCCCATCTACGGCACTCCAAGGAAACCAGCTCCATAATTTATTAGCTGGAGCCCTGAATGGTCCAGTTTTCCAGGCCATAATCAGCCTTCCACATACGCTGGCAACCTCCATAATGCAACAATATATTAATGGTGCGTTACTTAGTCAACCAACTGCAACTTCTACTAAAAACCCTGCTCAAACTGACGGCGCGATGAGCGATTCCGAAATAAAAACTGTTTTTCCCAACCAAAAGGGCCAAAACAAGAAGATTGCCAATAAATTAAATCAAGTAGATGGTCATGGGGATAGTTCTTCAGACGATAGTACAGAAGGATCAGATGTCGACGTCCAAGATGAAGAAATGGAAAATAAAGGAAGTGATGAAGGAAGCGATGAAGAATCTCTTAATTCGGATGACGATGACGAAGATTTCGAGGATCATTTTGATACGGACAACATTGTCGTTTGCCAATTTGAAAAAGTGTATCGCCATCGGAACAAGTGGAGGTTCCAGTTCAAAGATGGCATTATGAATTTGAACGGAGTGGATGGTGTTTTCCATAAAGCCAGTGGCCATACCGAATGGTAGATGGAGTTTGTAGAAGTGTTTTATTTTGGGTTTCCTAGAAATATGTTTTGCGTTTTAGCTTGAGGGCTAATTAGAATAAATTTTCTTCATTATATTTCCTAAGTTTATTTCCAGAATTATATTTTTTATTAAATGATATGTTTTTTTTTTTTTTTTTTTGGCTAACAGAATATTTGTCATTGTATACAGGATGGTACATTTAATTTGAGACAGTCTAAAAATATCATCCTTCACATGATAAATGCAGGTATGTCCCTAACGTTTCATACATAGAGTCGATATTTGCATTAGGTATACTAAAAGACAGCATTGTTTTGCCACCAAAATTTTACTATTTCACACAGTTTGGACCGAAATTAACTGTTCGATGTGTGGTGAAACGGAAATATTGTTTATTATTTGCATTCGATACCCAATGTATTTTGGATAAAGTTAATATTAATTGCCTGTTGTTAAAATATTATCCAAAAAGCGGATGAAGTTACCTTAGAACTCACCTCAAATCTCTATTAGTGGAAAACTCTAATAACGTAAAATCGACCTATATATGATATTTTCAAAATAATGTAAAGAAAAACAAATAGCTATACAAAGAACTAACTTCTATGAAAAGTACGTAAAAACAATATTCCGATATTTGGTTTCACTTCACAAAACACAAACAATATTTTGTCTTGTTTTGGGGAAATATTCAAAATTCAAAACAACTAAACTCCTTAGTGAGTAAAAAACTCGCACTGGCAAGCTACATTTTTCTAGCACTGGATCTGTAAAAATAAATCGCTACAAGCAAGTTCCTATTCTAAACTAGTCAAAACGAAATAAGGACCACTTTTAAAAACACCTTAATTTTTATTGAATTTTGAATAACCCTGGTAAAGTGTTGATATCCATTCACAATACAATTGTTTTATGCAAACTTCAATTGTCTATCTATATTGTAAATGGAAATAGTCAGTTTACCAGGGTTATTCAAAATTTAATAAAAACCAAGGTGCTCTTAAAAGTTGGACCTTGTTTCGTTTTGAGTAGTTTATATTCGAATCTCCATCCTCTATTACAAATGCATGATGATAAAATTGGACAGATTTTGTTCAGACTGTACACTGTAGGAAACATTATTGTTATTATTAACAACAATAAATTATTTCTGCCATTTTATTATCAAACGTTCTGTAAAAATAGGAATTTTTCATGTTTACTTTCATAAGAGTAGGTACCTACTCTCAAAACATCGATGTTTGTGAATGTGAAATATCGATGTTTTCACTTCGATACATCAGTTGCATCGATGTTGAATTATCGATGTTACCATCGATGTCCAACATCGAAATCTGTGCTCGAATTTCATCTGTCTCTGTTATACCCGCAGCAAACCCTATGGTTCTTTCCTCCGCCTGTTTTGCGATACATTTTAAATCGCCCTCACGAACGATCCAGCGCCAGCCAGCCCAACAGTAGCCCATTGCAATGATAGCGACGAACCTCGCATCTTTATTAGTATTAACTTGTTGGGTAGTTGTATAGTTCGACGTGCATTACAATATATTTTAAACGGCGCATTCAATCCCCTTAACTGGTGATTTTTTTTTCCGTTTTGAATATTTATTTTGTCAAGTTTTGTATCATTCCTTGTCTTTTTCAAAAGGAATATCTCCATGGTGGAATTGGAAATAAAAGTTCTAAAAGAAACAATACGGTCGAGGACTGCTACTGACGGCAGGTGACGTCAGTCGCAGTACTCGATGCTCGATATTTTGGCGTACATAGCAGCCTCTGCCGGTTAATTCGATATGCGGTGAGCACAGGCCAAATATCATAAACTAACAAAATTGCTCATCCTCGTAAGGCGTATGTTCACCAATTCTCGAGTCGGCAGGGGCTGCGAGTGACGTCACCACTAATTGGCAGCATAGCAGCTTATAATGATGACGTCACCCTCAGGCCCCGATGGGATGCCTGATGCGATTCAGGTTGTGCTTGTTTTTTCGTCGATTTTAAATGTAGAAAAGGTAATTTTAATTTTTAACAAGATTATAACGATTGGGAAATCGTTTTTTTGAACTTGCTACGATAAATTTATCATTTACGTAACGTGTTCCATCTCTTCTAATTTTAATTATAAAGTTGTATTTCTGCCATTTCAGAATCAGCAAAGTAATTTATTTATATTTACAAAAATCAATGTTTGTTTGTTTCCTTGCTTGCTTGTTTGTGCCTTATGCGCTCCTACACCACTTATCCGATTACGATGAAACTTTGGTAGGTTGTTATGGCCATCCCAAGGAAGGTTTGTCGATAGGTTACGCATCTCGGAAAAAAAAATAATTCTGAATTATTCTCATATCTACAGGGTGTCCACTTAGTGCGATATCGGACGATATCTCCTTACAGGGTGATACAAAAAAAAAAATTAGATTATAAAGTTGTTTGATACTCTAGATGCATTAGTTAAAAATATTTTTGAATATACAGGGTGCTCCGTTTATGGAGTATGCGACAGAACTTTGTTATTTTAAATGGAACACCCTGTATGTGATTGCATATTTGGATTCTACGTAAAATTCTGAGCAGATTTCATGTTGACATGTTGAAAATTGCCTTTTTGCAAATTTGACAAGCTGTAAAACCTAAACGGTTAATTTTAGACGAAAACCGATTTTACATTCCTATCTTAGATTTTCATAAACTATCATTTGACGCCAACATTGAATTTAATCCATGATTAAAAATTCCAGTTAAATTTAATCTCCGGTTAAATTCAAAGTTGGTGTCAAATGATAGTCCAAGATGGGAATGTAAAATTGGTTTTCATCTAAAAATAACCGTTTAGGTTTTACAGCCTGTCAAAGTTGCAAAAAGTCAATTTTCAACTGTCAATATTTCCAAAACAGTTGAATTTAGGTATAGGGTATATTACATGAAGTCTGCTCAGAATTTTACGTAGAATCCAAATATGCAATTACATACAGGCTGTTCTATTCAAAATAACAAAGTTCTGTCGCATAGTCCATAAACGGAGCACCCTGTATATTCAGAAATATTTTCAACTAATGCATATTAGAGTATCAAACAACTTTGTAATTAATTTTTTTTTCTTGCATCACCCTGTAAAGAGATATCGTCCGATATTGCACTAAGTGAACACCCTGTATATACTCATTCACATTACATAACAACATAACCCAACTTTTTTTTTAACAACATGAAACAACGTTGCCACATTTTATTTATTTAGGCTTGCCCATTCAACCGTCGTAACTTTATTATTTTTTGAATTCGAGAACGGCTGGACCGATCTTGAATTTATTACCACGTATCTCTATATAAGCCGAATTAGATTGACCTAGATTAGATCGATTTGGGTTCAATTCTTCTGATTTAGATAATTTTTTTGCTGATGAGGGTGCACTGATCCAACCTCAATCGAACACAGTGTGGTTCACTTAAATTAAACCAGATCGATGTAATTCGGTCAATCGAATTCGGCTATAGAGGGGAGTGATATAGGCTATTTTTTATTCTGAAAAAAAAATCAGTTGCGCAAAACTCTGATACACTGGAACTGGAACAGCTCTGGAGTGCTTAAAATGCGTTACTGAACTCACTGGCAAGCGACTCCGGTATCGGATAAAAAAAACTTTTAGAAAATCAACAAAAAATATTGAAAAATAGTTATCATACAAGGGAAAAAAGTACTAGATTTTAGCGCGAGGTGTGGTTTGTGTGGAGACAACACATCGAGCGCTAAAATCTTACTTTTTTCCCGTCTAGAATTACTGGGCATACACTTTTTTTTTTTCTATAACGGAAAAATCTCACCATTTTCCATCTATACATCTTTTTTTTTTCTGTGACCGTACTCATACTATTTTCCCTTTGAGAAAAAAATTTGACTGGTACTTGTTACTTTTTTTCCCGCAGGAAAAAAATTATCACTTTTTTCTCGTGGGAGAAAAAGTGATATTTTTGCCCCTGTCAACAGGTACAAAAAGTCAACTTTTTTTCCGTCACAGAAAAAAAGTGTATTATTTCAAAATTAATTTTCACGCTGACAACACAACGGGTCATTAGCTGGTAGTTCATAATTTGAGTAATCAAAAGTATCTACAAAGTTCAATATAATATCAGTACTGCCATCTATCCATCATGAGCATAAAATGCAAATATCTATTATTAAAAGAGGGTATCGCCATCTAATAACTGACAAATTTATTTTTCAAAATATTATTTTTATTATTTCTCATTTTACAGTCATTTGTATTTTCATTTGAAGAAATTATATTTATCTCACTTTCAGCAAATAGATATATTTCTGTCTTTCTCTAACTTCTGTTTCTGAAATTATTATTTTTGGCTTAGGGTGGGTATTATGAAACTACTTTGAGAGTTAACTTAAAGTTAACTTCTAGAATTACATGTAATTCAAAAAGTTAACTTCAAGTTAACTGTCAAAGCAGTTTTATAATACCCGCCCTTAATGACCTAATTAATTAGTGTTTTTTTGTTTTCAACATAACCTTAATTTAAATTATCAGGCATTCCAGGTTGACGTCATAATCGATCCGCCATTTTAGCTGAGGGGCAAACAAAAGCCAAACATAATCTGATTTAATGTTATTTTCAATGCAAACCGAGAATTTTTGAAGTATTATTTTGTGAAGATGCCTTTGTTTTGTGGCGTTTTTGGGTGCTCCAATAGAGCTGAAAGGGATAAAGTGAGGTTTTTTGGGATTCCAGCAGCATTTAAAGATCGAGGGTTCGCATAAACGAGCTATCAAAAAAACAACGGAGTATGTGAATTAGATGCCTCAATTGGGGAAATTTGCCTGTAACGTTGTTAAAAATGCTCGAATTTGTTCGAAACATTTTGTTAATGGTAAGTTCAGAGCTGGGCAGGGCTTGAGTGCTTTGTGCTTGCGAAAGTGCTTGAAGCACTTCGAGGACTTGAAAGCCCTGTGCTTCAAGCCCTTTTATAGATTTGTAATTGGGGCTTGCAAACAGGGCCGGATTTAGGCACAGGCAACCGAGGCAACCGCCTAGGGCGCCACAATTAGGGGCGCCAAATTGCAAACAAATTTATTTCGAGTAAACAAGTGATAATAACGAGATAATAAAAGATCCAACAACATTGTCTGGTAATAGTTAATT